AGGCCTGGCCTGCAGGCCTCGGGGATTACCACCAGCGGTTTCCCCTAGAGCCTCCTGTGACAGAGCTGGGACTTTGGGGTGGCAGACTGCCTGAGTTCCAGCCAGACCTTTCCTCTGCTCAGGAGAATGAGAATTTGGGCATCTGGAGAGAGGGCTCCTCCTCCCTGAGTCCCGCTGAGGTCAGGGAAGAAGAACTTGTCAGTTTTAGAATACAAATCATTTTAATGATCTGGGGACAGAGGAAGGAGAAGGTGGTCAGCGGCCAACCCAGCCCCAGGCCAACCCAGCCCCATTCCGTGGGGCTTCCTGTGGCTCCTGGGCACACTGAGCTAAGTGTGCCGACAGTGGGCATGCTGGGCCCAGGCTGAGCTCCTGCCTCATCTCAGCTTCCTTGGTGCCTTCAGTGTCCTCAGATACCAGTGCCCTGCCGATCACCACCCTCTGGGCAGCCTGGGTCCCCTGGTGTGAGCTCATCCAGGGGTGTGTGCTGGGAGGCAGCTGGGACCCGGGGCCCCTCCTGGTCCCAACTCTGCTGGCTTCTACCTGCTGCTCAGTCTCCTTATCTGTTGTCACCTCAGGTCCCTGTCACACAGACACGGAACAATCACCCAGCCCACAGGGAGCAGGGGGCTCAGAGAGCTGACAGCTGTCTTACTAGGTGACTTGAGGCAAGTGTCTTCTCCTTGAGCCTCCGGTTTCTCCGTGTGTAAAATAGGAAGATGGGAGACAGGCCAAGGTTGATTCCGTCCCTGACCCATGCTTCTGAATGAAAAATGCTCCATTGCAACCCGCACGCCCTGCAGGCTTGGGGGCACTTCCTCTCCCTTGCCTCCTGCCCCCTGCAGTGGCGCTGGCCTCTTTGCTCGCCCAGGTCCCCACTCATCACAGGTGCTGGCCCCCTTGCCTGGCTCACGCCTGCTGATCCTTCCTGCCTTCGCTCACATGTCCCCTTAATTTCCTTCCCTGTATTATACTTTTATTGTACTCCGTTATCAGGCTTTTTAAGAAAATGCATATGGGGTATGTGCCAGACAATCCCCAGGCGTTCACCAGTGTTAACCCTTCCCAAAGCAGCTCTCCGAGGGTGGTCCCGTTACACGGCTCCTTCTCCAGCTGAGGGAACAGGCACAGAGGCGTAGAGCTGTCATGCTGGGAGGAGGCCGTCCGTCACCAGGCAGCTTTTCACCCAGAGCCGCGGCCCCTAACCTTCACTTCCTGGCACTTACAGTAACGTGCAGGGACACTGGGATTTCTCTTTGGTTCAGCTCTGTCTCCCAGCTTGTGTGTTCAGTGAGGCGGGGGACCCTTTCCACTTTCGCATATTCCCAGTGCCTAGCAGAGTACGCTGCTCGAACATTCATATTATGAATGAGCAGCCCCGCGTCACCCAACGACGTGACCATCCATCAGAGGAGCATCTGAGAACCACCCACCCCACCGTGGCCCCTAGCATGGGGCTTGGCCTGGGGAGACCTCGCAAGTCTGGTGCACGAGTAAGTGACACATGGCGCTTTGTCGGCCGTCTGGTTTGCTGTGCACCTGGGATATTTGCACGCCAGTGAAAGGGAGGGCTTGTGTGACACCACTGCCTCTAGGGTGTCAGGGCATGGCTGACCTAGCTCTGGCCCCACAGCCCCTCGTGTGTGGAGAGGGGTGTGGGGCCCTGGTTCTCAGGCTGCAGCCCTGACTTCCTGTGCCGGCTGCCGAGTGGGGAAGGGAGCAGTGAGAAAAGCCCCTTGAACAACATGGGCCATTCCAGGGTCTCCCACGCTGGGGTCCGCCTCCGTGGGCTGGGGAGGGGACGCTGGGCCAGCTCCTCCCAGGCTACCTCCCTCCCTCATTCATTCCCAAGGAGATCGTGGGAAGCTTGGAGGAAGCTGGCCACAGTTTGGGGTGAGCTATTTTTGGTAACAGGGTCTTTGGTCTCAGGCTCCAGGGGCCGAGGTGACTGGGAGGGAGCTGTTTGCATTTCCTCTGGGCCCCCTCTGCTCCTTGGGCTCTCCCCCCCACCCCGGGCCCTGGGGACGAGGCCGCCTATGGTATGAACTCGCCTCTTCTCCCTGGGCTCAGGAAGCCTTCCTGCTGGCAGCTCCTGCACTGGGGGAAAGCGAGGAGGGGCACTTATCTGCCCTCTCCGAGGACCATTCCCTAGAGCTTGGCACCAGGCCCTCTCCCCAGACCCTGGCAGTCAGGAGGTGGCTGTGATGCTCACACTCCCGTGATCTGCAGTCAGCCGGTCCCTCTTGCATGTAGTGTCAGTCGGTCCTTGGATAGCCTTGCGAACATGAACCCTACTCACAAATGAGGAAATGAAGGTCTCCAAAAGCATGGGGATCCCCAGAACTTGGGGATGACGACTGGCCGCTGAGTGCCTCCTCTGGGATTCCTGGAAGGACAAGGGTGTGCTGCTACCCTGAGTCCTGACCCTGTGGCCAGGCAGTCCCTACTGTCCCCTTTGGAGGAGGGGCACTGAGCCTAAGCGTGGTGCCAGGTCAGCCCTCTGGGTGCAGTTCTGTCCTCAGCCAAGGTGAGGCTGGGGTCCATCCTGTCGTGACGCTAGGCCTCCCCTGTCCCCCAGCCACTGGGGCTCACCACCCTGGCCCCTCCTGCCCTCTGTGGGGCTCTCAGGCAGGTGGCCCACCCCAGGAGGCCCCAGCGGCGCAGCGCCATCTTTTGTCTCCTCCAGAGCACGGAGGCCCACAGGAACAGCAAGGATGGTCGGCTGGCGTGGACGGGCACCCAGGAGCAACTTGTGTCTACTGGCTTCAACCAGGTAGGGCCCCTCCCAGATGGGCAGGGCACCCACACCCAGAGGGTAGGGATGAGGCCCACTGGGAGGTGAGGGGTGTCCAGCCAGCTCTAGGCCTGTCCATATACGGCCTTGTGTGCGGCCGGGTCTCGGAGCCCCAGGGGACCTCCAGCTGCTGAAAACTGGCAGATTCCATTCGCAATAGCTAAGCCTGACCCTGGGAACTGTGGCAGCCTCCCCCCCACTCCCAGGAGTCCATGGACAGAACCGCCCCGTTGTCCCTTGTCACCTAGGGGTCCTTAAAGGGGCAGGACATGAAAACCCAAACTCTCCCTGCCTGGCATGACTCATCCCCCCCACCCTCCAAGGGCTGCTCTGGGCCAAGTACCCTTGTGCCAGGCTGTGTCCTGAGGTGCTGGCTTCCCAGGGAGCCCAGGGGGCTGAGGGATGGGCCCTTCTGAGCCCCTCTTTGCCCCCTCCGTGCAGATGCGGGAGCGGGAAGTGAAGCTCTGGGACACCCGGCACTTCTCCAGCGCCCTCGCCTCCCTCAGCCTGGACACCTCACCCGGGTAGGAGCAGCTGGCACACTGGGGCTGGGCTCGAGGGAGGGTCAAGGGCGTGAATGATGTTCTTGAGGCCTGTAGTGGACACTTGGGGTGAGGGCCTCTGCCGTGCCATGGCAAGGCCACCTGTGGAGTGGAGGGGCCTGAGCGGGTGGCACAGCCTGACCCGGCCCAGACCTTGTCAGTGAGGGGCTCATCACCCAAGTGGTCGGGGGCTCAAGCTCGTCTGCGAGGTCTTGCAGAAGAAACCCGGTCGTGGCCCTTCAAGGCTCCACCAGCAGGCCTGTCGGGGGGAGGCCATTCTGCCTGAGCAGAGGAACTTCCTGACCCCATCCCACCCAGTCCCCAGCCACAGCGGGGGCCCTTGCTCATGCAAGCTTTCAGAGTGTCGGGGCAGGGACCGTGACCTGGCAGACACATGGGTGGGAAGCGTGGGAGCATATTTGATTTTGCTGGGGCCATTTTGGCGGTACCGAGGGTCAAGGAGACCAAAGCTTCAGTAGATGGCAGGGTGGACATGGGGTGACATGGGGACAGATGGGCTGGCAAGCTTGGAGGCACAAGGGACAGAGGGAGGCAGGCCTTGGACTGACAGGCTTTATGGAACCTCCTCAGTTCTGGCCACACGCCTGTCTCTGGTGGTTGTGGGTGTGTTGGGGGGTGGGTGTGCCCAAGCGGCTTGGGACTGTAAGTGCCCCTCAGTTTTCCATCCTCCTGGAAGTGTGTGCAGGGGGGTCTGTGATGGAGCCGTGGGGACTGGCCAAGCCAGCTCTGTGCAGGGGGCCTGGGCTCCCTGTGGCTTAGGCACAGGAGGCTGTCAGCGATGACTCCCTATATCACAGCTGAGGAAACAGGCGCTGGGAGTGGGGGACCAGCCTGGCTGGGGTAGGAGGAGCCGGGGGCCTGGTTCCTTTTCAGAAGCCTCTGCCCTGCTCAGTCACGAGTGTTGGAGGGGCTTTCTGGGAACCCCACCTGCTCCCCAGGCAGGGACCTATGAAGGTCAGAGCCAGGAGAGGGTTTTCATTCTTGGCTGTCTGTCCAGCCCTTTCCCCTTCCATTTCATGGCTGGAGAAACTGAGTCACAGAAGGCCTAGTGATCTGTCCAAGCTCTGGGAGTCAAGTGGACCATGTTTGAGGGCAAAGAAGCCTGACTGCCGTAAGAATTCTTGCCAGGGCATCTGCCAGAGAAGGGCTAACGGTAGCAGTGACCCTCCACTCCCATCACTTCTTACAAACCCGGGAGAGGTTGGGGGGCTGGTGAGGCCCATTTTGCAGATGAGGAAGGCGAAGCTGAGTGAGATCCAGTGCTTTCGAAGCACATAGTGCAAGGCCTCTGCTTACTCTGGGCCCTGGGCATTTGGAGGGGACAGTCACCAGGGGCCCCTGCATTGAAAGAATAAGAGCCCCTGGGCCTGATGCTGCATTCGTATCTCATCCTCCACACCTCCCCAGGCCAGGCCATCTCTTCCCTACCCGGCTCCCCCGCAAAAGGAGGGAGCTGGCCCAGCCTGGAGGGGTGTGGGGACCCAGGGTGAGCCATCAAGTGCTCCTCCTCCCACCACTTCCTGCCTTCCAGGCTCCACCCCTGGCCCCTGATGGGTCCCCCTCCCCCGCGGAGCAGCCCCCCCCACCATCCCCAGCGTGGCCCCTGGAGGAGTTAACGATGCCCAGACCCCACGGTGCCACTGGCCAAGGCTGACCCTGTAATTACAGCAGTTAAGAATAGCTTCGCAGGGCCAGCAGGGCCTGGAATTTCTCAAATCACTCCCAGATGGGTGGCCAGACTGTGTCCCGCCCCCTCCATCCCCCAGGCCTGGCCCCTGCCCTGCCAGGCCACACCCTTGGCAGGGGAGTGGGGACTCTCCAGCCCCGTGTGGTGGCGGAACCCCTCGGGCTCCCCTGGGTGTCAGCTCTGCTCAGTGATCTGGACTGTAGATGGGAAGCATGTCGGGTGTCAGATGCGGGGACAGCCATGGAGTTCCACTGTACCTCCTCAATTTCTTCTCTGTTTTACAGATTTTCCCTCTCAATTTGAGCAGAACAGGGAGTGTTCTTTTAAAAGCTAGAGGGGGCCGGGGATCAGGCACACACCTCTCCCTGTCGTCTCCCAGGGAGCGCCCAGGGCTGACCCTTCAGAGGCTTCTGTCATGGCTCCCACCTGTGTCCTCCTCCCTGCTCATCCCCATGGTCCGTGGAGCAAGGCTCACTCAGAGGAGACATGCCATGGTTGGAAGAGCAAGGCATCAAGGGCCTGTCCGTGAAGCCAAGCTCCGGGCAGGGTGGAGGTGGGAGGGTAAGTGGCAGGGCGGGCCTGGCACTGAAGGAGCAGCTCCCATTGTAGACTGGGAGGTGCGGAAACACTGTCTCGGGGCGATGCTTCTGGGTGGGTGAAAGGTCAGCTGGACCCATCACAGGCGCCAGGCAGAGGGGGACATATCTCCTCGTGATCCACAAGAGGCGTCTGAGTCCAGAGAAGTTCAGTATCTGTTGAGGTCACCGCAGCAGCCAGTCCACGCAGGGTGGATGCTGGGGTTCAGTCTCTGGGGCTTCACACCAGAGAGCTTCTGCTCTTCATGGCGGCCCCACCCATCTCCTGGAGGCCCACATGGCTGGCAGCCCCAGGACTGGGCCAGGGTGCCTTTGTCGGGATCCTATCCCCGCCTGCCCTGAGCAAGCTGCTGGCTCACCTCTCCCAGCCGGTGCTTCTCTCTGTAGGGCATTTGCTGGGCGTTAACGGGAGTCCCTGTGGCACAGGGCCTGCGGCAGCAAGGACCCAACAATCCCACTGGCATCTCCCCACATCTGTCCCTGGACCCTGGCCTGGGGCCATTGGGATTGCCCTGCGTAAGGGTTGCATCTTGGCTTGGTCTCCACTCTGCCCCTGGGCCTCCCTCCACTCCCCCAGCCCCTGATCTGATGTGACACCCCAGATACCCTTTCTGGGAGGGCTGGAGTGAGCATTCAGCCCATCTTTGGGTCCCGCCTCCCCACCCCACCTCCTACCATCTCACTAGGCCAGGTTTGGCTTTGCAATGAAAACATTTATGCAACAGCCAATGCTGTGTTCAGCAGCAGCCCACAGGCCCACAATGGCCCCTTTGACAGGGCTGCCGAGGGGGAGGGCAGGCCTTGCCATAGCCGCTCCCCTAATGGGACCCAGGCTCACAGGAAATCCACCTGGCCCACCGCTGCCTCAGGAAGAAGGGGCCCCACCCAGGCTCACTGCCACCATCCTCTGCCCGCCACGACCCACCGCCTACCTCCTCCCTTCCCGTGCCAGAACCCTCAGCAGCCGCTAATTGAATCCAGAACCTCGCGTGGCTGGGCCTGACTCGGCGCTGACATCAGTGCCCTGAGCCACAGGGCCTGCTCCCCAGGCCTGGCTGAGCAGCCGCTTTCCGTGCAGGGCGAGGCTGATGGGGCCCAGGGGCCGTGACCCACAGAGGGGACCCAGGATGGGGCCTCGGGGAGGCTTGCTTAGTGCTCGCCACTCCTCTCTGTGGCCCCAGGGCCCCCTCTGCCTCCCGTCTCAGGGTCATGGGAGAAGGTGCTGTGCTAGCGCTCTTGTTTCCCAGCTCCCAGCACCCAGTCCAGGCCAGAGCTGCAGTCCTGCATCCCTGGCCCTGCCCCCACACAGTCTATGGCCTTCCTGGAAAACACTCCCACTTCCGGGGTTTCTGGAAAGCCTGGCACATCCCAAGTGCCATCACAGCCCTGGCTTGGCCCTTCCTCTCCACTCACCAGACAGTTCCTGTCATTCAGAATCTGTGCTACCCCTCCACTAAGACCCCTCTTTGCTGCTGGAGCAAGAGGCGGGGAGCAGGGTTTCCTAGCCTGAGCCCACGCAGAAGGTTGTCAGAACTGCAGGGAGGGCTGGGCTGTGTGCTCTGCCTGGCTCACCACCATCTGTGGGGGCCTGCAGGACACAGTTCTAGGTATACCCTTCACAGATGAAGGTAGGCAGTGAAATGCTTATCAGGCCCTTCCCCAAGGAGGGCTCCTTGGGGACCCTCTTGGCCTTTATCTGCCATGAGCCTTCCCCAGTTTCCCAGGAGCACTACAGTTCCTCTTGGCAGACCACTGGGCCTGGGTGGGGTGAGGCTGCCCCCGTGTCCCTCTTCTCCGAGGTTAGAAGCTGCTCAGCTCCCAGCTCTGCTCCCGCCTGCATCCCAGTCTCAGCTGAGAGGCTGCACCAGGCGCTCTGGTTGAGGCTGGGCAGACATAGCCCAGCACAGGGTACCTGGAAGGGCCACCCTTCCTGGCATGGTCGGGAAGCCCTCCTAAGCCCAGGGGTTGCTGATCAGGGCCTGGTGCTCACTGGGGAGAGGGTTCCTGGCCCCCAGCTTCCCCCAGAGAGAGTTATCCCTTTATGCCCACCCTCCTTCCACCCAGCCCAGGTACCCTGGGCTACGCCAGAGAAACAGACTCACTTTATCTTTTATTTTTCGTACAAAAGGCCTTCATATCATTGTTTGTCTTACAAAAACCAAAGTCTTTGTCTCTGAGTTTGAAAAACATTTTCCCAGAATAAATGGGAAAGAATCTCTTATAAATATATTTTTAAAAACCAAAGCAAAACATGTTCCTAAAGTGTCTGTCCTTCCAGTTTCTTTTGTTCCTTTGCTCCTTGGGGCTGAGTCTGACCCTACGCCCCATCCCCAGCCCCACTCTCCCTCTGCTGTCTTTCTGGGGGCTTCCTTCACTGGCCCCCAGAGTCTCCCTGGGAGGGGGGCCCTGGCAGCCCTGGGCCTGTGTTACCAGCACACGGCTGGGCACGCCCCACCTTTCCCCAGGGGTTGTACGTTGCAGAGGACAGGGCAGACGCCCTCCTCGTAGGCACGCAGGCTGGGGGGCACCTTCGAGGTGGTCACCTGGGTCCCAGGATCTCACGGATGAGGAGACGGAGGGGCGGGGTCTTGCTGTGGTCACACAGTGCCCACCCTGCTGTGTCCCCCGGTAGGGATCTGAGAACTTCCTTGGTCTGGCCGCAGGAGGGCGCCGGCGGGTCCCAGCGGGGCTGAGAGCCCGGCCTCGCAGCTTCGTCGCTCCCGGGCTTAGATGTAGGGCTTGGCGGGGAGGGGCCCCTGGGGGCTGGGCCCAGCGTAGCCCATGAGTGGCACCTCACACTCGGGCCCGCTGGGTGGGGCCTCCCCACCGACCTCAGTCGCCTTGGGGCCCGGCTCCAAGGGGGCCTTCACGCCCTCCAGCTCCAGGGGCCCAGCGCCGGGCCCCAGCTGTGCTTTGCCGTGCGCAGCCGCCGCCGCCGCCGCCCGCCCCCGCCGCACGCAGTAGGCCGCCCCCACGGCCGCCAGCGCGGCCAGGAGCACGGCCACCAGGGCCGGCGCGATGAGGAGCGGCAGGTTGCCCTCTCGGGCCTGGGTGACAGGCGCGTGGTTGGAGCGGCTGGCGGGGGGTGTGCGGGCCTCCCCACAGGCCTCTTCGCCCTCGGGCATTCGCCCAACGCCCAGAGGCCTGACGCAGATGGAGTAGGTGGCGTTTGGCCGCAGCTGGGTGACCGTGTACTCAGCAAGGGAAGCCGGCAGGCGCAGCGTCACGGGCCGCTTGTCGGGGCCTGACAGGTTGCGGTAGGTGAGGCGGAGGCTTCTGAGCTGCAGGGCACCGCCCTGCAGGTAGCGCCGCAGCCCCACTCGCAGGGAGGTGGGGCTGGCCGGCTCTATGCCCAAGACCGGGGGCTGCGGCGGCTGCAGCGTGGCCGGGGCCGGGCTGGCCGGGAGCCCCTGCCGCACGTGGCTCTCGCAGTACAGGCCCACGAAGAGCTCAGGGCACAGGCACTCCAGGTGCCCCTGCACCCCCAGGTGGCAGGTGCCACCGTTGAGACAAACAGAGGCTGGGCAGTCCTGAGGCTGGGGTGGAGGCCGCACCGTGGGCGGGGCTGCAGGGGGCAGGCTGGGGGCCTCCGTGACCAGCTCTGTGGGGTTGAGCCAGGTGGGGGCTGGACTGGAAGGGGAGAACGTGGGCCCCCACACTGCGGGCTTTGTGGTGGGTGCCGTAGCTGTGGTGGTGGTGGCTGGGCAGCCAAAGTCCGCATACTCGAGGTCTAGGAGCAGTCGGCCGGCATTCTTGGGAGGGAAGTGGCAGCGTGTCTCCTCTGGACTGGCTAGTGTCACGTGGCTGTCCCGTAGCCAAGGCCCAAACCAGCTTAGGGGGCAGACGCAGTTGAAGGGGTTGCGGGCGGCCACCAGGAGCCGCAGGCGGGGGAAGAGGTCCGACAGCTCGTGCGGGAGGGCCTGCAGGCTCAGGTTGCTCAGGTCCAGCTCCTGCAAGGCCACCAGGCCGGCCAGGCCCTCGGGCCGAAGCTGGGCGATGCGGGTGTTGCCCGCCAGCCGCAGGCGTGTCAGGCCCCGCAGGCCCCGGATGGCGGGTGGCACGCGCTCCAGCTGGTTGTCAGACACGTCCAGGTCGTGGAGGTTGCGCAAGCGGCTGAAGAGCCCCTCGTCCAGCCGCCGCAGCCCCAGGCCGGCCAGCCGCAGCGCCTCCACGTTGGCCGTGTCCAGGGTGCCAGGCTCCAGCGCTGGGAGGCTGTTGTGACTGAGGTCAAGCAGCAGCAGGCGCGGCAGGTGCAAGGGGGGCAGGGTCCGCAGGTCATTGTCCTGCAGCTTGAGCTCCAGGAGGCCATCGAGCGTGTCAAAGGCCCCGGGCTGGATGTGGCGGATGCGGTTCTTGCCCAGGTAGAGGCGCTCCAGGCGCCGCAGACCACGGAAGGTCTCGTTGGTGATCTCGCGAAGCCTGTTGGCCGTCAGGTCCAGGTTGCTGAGGTTGGCGAGCGGCTGAAAGACCCCGCTGGGCAGGCTGGCGATTTGGTTCTGCGACAGGTCCAGGAGCTGTAGCCCCGGCAGGCTGGCAAAGCTGCCTGCGTCGAGCGTGGTGATGCCGTTCTCGAAGACATACAGGCCCGCTGTGTCGGGTGGCACGTCGCGGGGCACAGTGGTTCCCTGCCGGGCGGTGCAGAAGACCGTCTGTGGCTGGTTGCACTGGCAGCCGGATGGGCAGCCCCGCACCCCGGGCTCTGGGGCCAGCAGCAGCAGCAGCGGCAGCGGCAGCAGGCGCAGGGGGATTCTGGAGCACATCTTCTGGTTCCTGGGAGCAGAGGGGAGAGAGAGGCAGGAGACCATGAGTCAGGGGCCCAGGGGACAGCCACGCCGGGGAAGGACCAAGAAGGGAATTCCCAGCCCCCTTCACCATTCCCTTCCCCCAAGTCCAAGAGTGCACAGTAGTTATGAGTCAGGTCCCCAGTGCCCCGGCCCTGTTCTTGTCCCAGCCCCATCGGCCCCCTCACCGAGTGACTTTGAGCCCTCACATGACTTCGTTACGCTATCAGTTGCTACTTCCTGCGCTGTCACCAGGGCTCAGTGGGCTGATGCATGCAGAGAGAGGCCGGCCCCCAAACACTCAGTGGCCACAAAAGCTGCCATCTCCCTCACTCTAGCTCTTGCGTCTGAAGCTCAGAGAAAACATGTGGTCTGAAAGCATCAGGCTCTGTGCCCTCCCTTCAAGTCCCATCCCCCCCGCAAACCTCCACTGAGGTGGACAGGCGAGGAGGGAGCCCCATGGGTCTTAGAGCAGCAGCCCCTCCCCGCCGCGTCTGCGAGAGAAGGGGCGGGCAGCCAGCGCGTAAGCAGAGAAGCTGGCTGCCCCAGGCCTCCGGCCCCTGCCGCCACGCTCTGTGTCCTCCGAGTGAGGAGACCGCAGCGGGAAGACTTCACATGGAAACTATGGGATCGGTGTTTTTCCACTTGTGAAGTCAGACCTGCCCAGTATGGGAGCCGAGGGCCCCTCCAGGATGTGGCTAGGGGGAGTGTTCCAAGGGAGGGGGCAGAGGAGGGCCTGAGCCATTGGCAGGTGTCCCCCTGTGGGGTGGGGAGCAGGGAGGCAGGGAGCCCTGGTTTTCAGATCCCCACCTCTGAGGTGTGATGACAGATTCAGAGGTGGGGGGTCCTGGCCTCCCTAGGCTCACCCAGGGGGCACGCTGAGGGACACTGGGTATGGGGTGGCCCCAGAGACAGTGCTGGGGCTAGAAACTGTCTGCGGACTGGTTTGTCTACCATTTCTTGGGGTCCACTCTGGCCTGAGTACTGAGAAGAAGGGGCAGCAGCTCCTCCCCCATGCAAGCTCCCTGCATTTCCAGTCCTCTCGTGGGGTGCCCCGCACAGCCATGGCAGGTGGAAACTATTCTCACTGCTCCCAGGTGACAGAAGAGAAGGGGGTTCCAGGAGGTGTAGTGACTTGCTGCCTTCCCACTGCAAGGAAATCCGAGCCGGAGCCTAGATCCTTAACCACGTCCAGGTGCAGCTGGGCCTGCAGCCTGTGATGGTCCTGCCCTGCTGATGTGGGGGCGGCTCCCTCAGCTGCTCGGGACTCCAGCTTGTAGCTGGAACTGCTTAAGACAGAATGGGGCCACAGTATGAGGCCCCCTTTCAGGCTCCTGGGGGAGCCCAGGGGCCACCCTAGCAGCAGTCGCCACTCTCCAGGCCCCTAGAGTCCCCAAGAGGCCGGCACTCCTCCTCTCCAGGCGCCTTCTGCTCACACAAGGGCCTTTTGTGCTGGGGCCCGGCCTCCCCTTCCCCCATGCCTGCCAGCCGTCAGGCCATGGCAGGTAACACGGCCCCCTCAGCCGAGCCTGTGTTCCGCCCGGCTGCCATCCCTCAGGCTCCTCCCCCAGGAACACAGGCCCCTTGAAGTGTGAGGCAGAGGACGGGCAGGTGGTTCCAGGAGAGACGCGACAAGTCAGCAGGGGGACCAGCTCGAGGTCAAGGCCTGTCACCCAGGTTGGGCCTGCACAGGCCCTGCCCGCCTGCAGGGTCCCCTTTGCCGGGGAAGCAGCCTATAACCGTCTGCCCCTCACTCATTCACTGAAAACCACCCTTCAGAGGACAGCCAGGGAGGGCACCCTGACCCCCAGCTGGTGCCCCTTCCCCTGCTGTCACTCCTGCTGCTCCCTTGTGTCCCAGAGCATGCTTAGCTTATCTTTGCTGAGTGAACGGTGGGGCAGAGCCTGTAACTGAACGTCAGAGGGAAGCTAAGACCAGGACCTGGAAGGCCTTGTGCCCCCCCAGGCCTGCCGGCACCACCCCAAGGGGGCTGCGTGCACCACACCCGGCCTTCTCCCGCAGGGGGACCCACTCCACCCTCACTGACTCAGAAGGCAGCGGGTGTGGCCTGGCCTCCAGATGTGGGCTGTGAGCGCCCCCCCCCGCCCCCCACGTCCACATGTGGGGTGAGCCGCCTCCCCCTGAATCAGCCTCCCAGCGGGGCAGGCAGGGTCAGGAAGGGCGCAGCCAGGCTCCAGGGTGGGAGGGGACCCTACACGTGGCCACCCCTGCGGCTTCGGCTCCCCATGGGCTACGTATAAGGTCACAGTTAAGAGTTCACACTCCAGGCAGCCTGGGCCCAGGGCATCACAGTTCCGAGGCCACAGACAGTGGCTTTCTCTCAGAGCCTTGCTTTTTTCACTGTCTCCCCAGGCGTTTCAGAGTCGACACATTCTAGGACTGGGAGCGCTTAAAACTGAACAGCCCCGCGTGGCCCTTGGGGGCTCGGGGTGCGCGCTGGGGGGCGTTCCCCACTCTACACTGAGGAGGGACTGATGTGTGGGCTCTGGGCTTCGCTCCATGACTCTAATACATTAAGTCATCTTGGGGGAGCTGTAGGTCTGTCCAGCCACAGGGTGGCCACCTGGCTGAGTCTGTGGGGAGCCGGGGCTGGGTCAGAAAAAGAGCGACTGGCATCCTGGGTGGGGGAGACCCCAGCAGGTAGCAGCTAACCCGCTTCCCACCTGCTGGGGTGCCGGGGTGAGCACCTGGGCCAGAGCAAGGAGTCAGCACTGGGGCTTTGGTAAATGAGAAGCCGGGTGCCGGCAGCTCCATGGGCTCTGCCGTGGGCTCTCCTGGCACCAAGAGCAGACCACATAGCTCCCAGAAGGGGACCCAGAAGGGGAAGGCCAGCCATGGGACAGGGTGCCGCAGGGCAACAGGACATAGAGGCCCAAATTTAGGCCCTAAATCGCTTCCCGTGTCCCTTTCCGATTCTGGGCCTCAGTTTCTCACTAGCCCTGCCTCACTCTCTGGAGTTGTTCTGAGCACCTGGGCTTGTAGTGTTGTGTTGTTCTGTTTGTTTTTAAGTGGGGGAGTTCTTTTAACGAGTTCTGGGAGCGATTCCGCCTGCCTGGGCCCGTTCTGCTGTGTGTGTGCACTGGGGGTGTGGTGTCTCATGGAGCTCACGGCTGGCCTGGCTTCTAAGCTCCAGCAGTCCTGAAGGACCAGGGGCCTGGCCTGGGCTTTGATATCTGATCTGCTGACCCGAGGCAGAGAGGTGGGACCTCTCCCTCTGCAAAGGGTGTGGAGAGACTCCTGGCGGCAGCCCTGGGGCTTGGGGGGCGGTGGGAGTAGGAGGGCAAAGGGTCCAGGGCATCTCTCTTCCACCTGCCCCCTGCAGCCTCCTCGCCTTGGCCTGGCCCACTGTGGTATGGTGGGAAGAGGCAGGAAACTGAGGCCCAGGCTCCTGCTGCTGGCGGTGCTGCCCTCCAGGGGACAGTTGCTGGGATGGGGCTTCTTAAGGTCCCACTGCCTGCGATCCCAGCCTGGCTGCATGACAGTCGTGCCTCGGCCCTTCACCTCCCTTCTGGCTGTGAAGGGCCAGCGGGGGGGTGGTTCCTGGTTATACTGCCTGATCGCTGGGCTGTTTGGTTTGTACTCGGAGCACGTGCTAAGTGGTCAGTCAACATCAGCTACTGAAGGTGTTAACCCGTAAAACCTGAGCCCTGCTTTTGCACATAGAGGGGGAGGATGGCATGGTGTGGGAGGGGCTTCGTGGCACTTTCCGCCCAGACAGGAGGTGCCCTGAGCCCAGGGCAAGGCCTCCACGTGGAGGCTGGCCTTCATCCTCGGTGTGGGAGAGTAGGAGCTGGAGAGAGTAGCCTGATGAGGGGTGTATTTGGTTCTGGAAGGGGGCGGGGGAGTGAGCTGTGCTTTGGTCGGCCCCCCTGAGCGTATGACCTGGGAGTAGGGGAAGGGAGCAGAAGGAGAGGCTCTATGAGTAAGGAACCCCTCCTCAGCTCACAGTGGGATGCTGGGGCCCTCACCCACGTCTGAGTGTGGGGGACATCTGGAGACGCCTAGTCACACATGGGCCCTGGGTCAGGCAGGTGCTAGTGAGTGGATGGGACCCAGGCATCTGGGGGACCACATCAGAGCCGAGACTGCGCATCTCACTGCTCCTGGGGAAGACCACACGCCTGGCTGCTGGGGACACAGGGTCGGACAGACGAGGCCAGTACAGACCCTTCCTGGTCCAGACACTGTGGTGTGGGTGCAGGGGTCCGGTGCTGCAGGTCTGACCCTGAGGCTCCGGGCCTCTGGCTCCCAGTGCCGCCCCCCACCCCCTGGGTTAAGGCCTGCCGGCCAGGCCTGGCAGCAGCCCAGCCCAGGAGTCTGCCAACCCCCCCCCCACCGCCCCAGGCAGGCGGGGACCATGCCGGCGGCCAGGATAGCTGGCTCCGGTTTCGCTGACGTGTCTGGGGAGACTCAGAACCGAGGCTGGGTCCACCCATCTCCCCACTCCTGGGGCACAGCAGAGCAGAGAGGTTGGGGTCTCCATCCTAGGCTCTCAGAGGAAGGGGACAAGGTGAGGGTGGGGACCGCAGTCTGGTCCTGTCATGAAGCTGGGAGTCCCTACTGGTCTTGGCTCCTCTCCCTTACTCTACCTTCCGCTGCAGTCGGCTCTGCTCATTCTGCACGTGAAGCCCAAGGCACCACGTTGTGACCTCATCCAGTTCCCTTCCCTCGCTGTCTTTCTGTCTCCCACCTTTAACCCCAAGGGTTTCTTAACCCTAGGTACACATCACAATCTCCCGGGAAGCTTTGGGAAGTTCCTGAGGGGCTCTCCAATCCTTGCCAATTTAATAAGAATTTCTGGGATAAGGCCCAGGCAGAGCTGCGTTTTGGAGAAGCTCCTTCAGTGAGTCTCCCCTTCAGGGCTCAGACCCTGGGGCAGAAGACTGCAAAGGGGGACAGTCTGGATGTCCAGGGAGGGGTCCGGGTCACCAGCAGGTGTGGCTGGTTGGGTGTGCCAAAAGAGCAGGAGCTGGGCCCTTTTCTCCCCTCCTACTTCCTCCTAGGCAGGAGCTGCCTGGCCCCAAATGGGTGCCTTCAGTGGCACCGTGGGTGACTTGGCAGCCACCAGACCTGTCAGCCCAGGACTGGGAGACTGGTGACTAAAGCCATTCTGCCCAAGTGGGCCCTCAGGGCGGCGAGATATGTCATCTCAGTCGGAAGAGGTGCCACTCTGTTGGGAGAGGACACCTGCTTCCCCAGGAGCTATTTGGTGGCTGTGGCCCAACTAGAAATGGGCCAGTCCAGATGCCACCATCGGCACGCGTGCGGGTGTGATGCCACAGGGGCTGGGCTCAGTCAGAACTAGGGCCTCCTAGCTGTCCTGTCCCCACCCAGGGCCAAGCATCCATCAAGTAAGGCCCTAACCCTGCAATTAACCCTGGATTTGCCAGAGGAAGACCTTAGTCACCAAGGGAGGCCACCAGCCCAAGCCAGCTGGGCCCAGGTTGTCTGGGACCAAGAAGGAAGTGGCCCTGAAGGGATCTTTGCCCTTCTCACTCTTGCCATGCCTGGGGTCCTCAGTTCCCTTGCGGCAAAACTGGCCCCTCCTGGGGCCTGTGAGCTGTTCAGGGGAGCCACAACCCGACTCCCCAACCCGGGTCTCTCAGTTCTTACCGCTGCCCATCCAGGCCCAGGGCCAGTAGGGGCCCCAGTGACCGCCTCAGCCCCAGCCCCTTCTCAGTGCAAGCCAGCTCTCTCCTCCCTCTTTAATTAAATCTCTCAGGCAGCCGCAGAGGAATGTCAGCCTTATTGCATTCCCCTGGAGGAGACTGGTTGGGGGGACCGTCCCCAACCTGGAGAACTGGCCCCTTGCCTGTCTCTATTCCCCAAAACCAAGGTGGCTCAAGGGAGTCTGCTTCAGCCTCCTCATACCCAGGGAGGCTGGAATGAGGAAAAGTGGGGGAGGCCTGAGGGCCTGGCCAGCCAGGCGGCCCAGCCAGCTAAAGGAAAGCAATCCGGCTGACTCTGGAATGTGGAAACCGATAAAAGGAGGAAGGCTGAGCCCCTGTCCGCCTGCAGTGCACTCAGACTCCTGCAGCACCCCAGCCCGCCCCCAAACACAGCCCTGTTCCAGTCACGCGCGCGCAAACACATGCCCACGCCAGACACACGCCCACTGGGCCGTGCTCTGACACACACACACACACACACACACACTCCCTCCTTCCCTCCCCCTTCTCCAAGAACTCTTGCAAATTCCACAGCAGTGAGGGGAGCTGGTTTTCTTGGCAGTGCAGAGCCTTGGGCTCCCTGGCTCAGGGAGGGACTCTAAGGGGAGCTGAGGGGGGCTACAGGAGGGGCCAATAACCCCGTTCAGTGGCATTGATGCCCTTCCCAAGAGCTCAGGGCCTATAGATGGTCAGGGATGCTTCTGTGGGACAGGCTCACCCAGCCTTCTCTCTGGTCTCCAAGGGGGACTGGCTGGCTGGCTTTCTGAGGTGGGAGCTGCCTCCTGGGGGCAGCTGAGACCCCACTTTCCTTTTCCCAGGACCTGCCTAGCTCAGGGGAGGGGTCCACTTACAAGACCCCATGAGGACTCAACCCTCTTTACTTGGGACTTGCTCCACCTCCCCCAGGGCTGTGGGGAATGAGGGTGTCAGGAATGGGAACCGGAAACTGTGGACCCTGCCCAGGGCATCTCCTTGCCTGCCACAGAGGCTTCCGAGGGAGAACACAGGTCTGGGCAGTATCTGAGGGGCTAGTCATGTTCACTTCCCCTCCCTCATTTTCAGAGTCCCATCAGATGCTCTGCGACACCAGTCCCCCACTGGCCACATCTGACCTTCCGGACCCCCAGGTCCCAGAGTAGCTGTTTCAGTATGCAGCTGGGGGAGGTGGGGACAGCCAGTGCCCGGGCCCCCTGTCTGGCACGTGTGTGCTCATCCTCCCTCCCTGGGCCAGATAATGGTCTGGAGGGAATCCAGCTGGGCTGCACATTACCAGAGCCCTCTTCCTGCCTCTGACACTCTGTTTACAGAAGCTCCGGGGGCTGATTCCCCTGGGAGAAGACAGCCAAC